ACATTCGATTCACTCTCAGTCTAAATCCCTACTGCACAACTCTTGAAATACTTTATTAAAGTCTCAAGATACGAAGGTAGGAAGACCAAGGAAGTTCAGCAACTCAAAGAAGTAGCCATGTGTAGGATTTTCACCAGACTAAAGCAATGTTATTTGAATTGGAAGACTGCCCCAACCGTAATAATCACCCATGACTCACTCATGCATAGGCTGCCACCTGCTCTGTTGCTTATTTTACAACATGGTTAATACATTTAGCATGTTTTCAGACCACCCTACCCTCTATAGCCTCGTTCAGATTGCGAACGAGAGAATCAAACGCTAGATAGACGTATCTTGATTTGCATGATCAATTTCCATCCACGAAGGTTTGAGGTCATCAATCGCAGGGGTAAATGTTGAGCAATATGCCTGCATAAATTACAAAATAAGTAACTTAATGCTTTGCGGATTGGCATCCCTTCCCGTAATTAATCCAATATCAGTATGCTTTGCCAAAGCAAATATAAGTAACCTGCTTGCTTTTCACTATACCTCTGACTCCTACAGCAAAATGCGCATGCTGTCACAGATATTTACAGTGAGCCTTAAGGCGTTTAACACATCTAGAAGTGAGAACCCCACTCAAGATGAAAATACAGCACCTCTACAAAGCAAATACATTTTATTGGCAGAGTTGAACCATTCACTAAAAACACAAACAACATATTCATGGGAGAAGTCAAATGAGAATGAGGACAAACAGGCTGGTAAATAACAGCACAGTACAACAATAGTTTGAAGAATAGCATCTCTACACAAACTTTTAGCAAATGTGCCTAGACAACAAGACCACACAAACACATCATTCCTATTAGCTATACAAGAAAAATGGTTCCAGGAGAACACTGGACAGCTATAAAATGTAAAACCATTGCCTTGTCCTACAAATTAAGCATGATTCATTTTCCCCTAAAATTCCCCTATATATTCCATATATATATATATTCCCGATATAACTAACTGTAAAAAATATTCTTACTTTAATAGTTACTCATTAAAGATGCCGACATTTCAACAGTTCAAAAAGAACAAGAATATATTGCAAGTTGCTGAGCCTATATGGTTTAAACATTCATTTTAATACATTTTAATACATCACATTTAACAATTTACTTCTTATTGCAATACTTAATGACCAACCGAAATTAGAAGTTCAAAACTGGCATAATGACACCGAGTGGTAATCAAAAGTATTGCAACGAACGTTTGTTTAGCAGAATTAGATAAGGAAGTGCTGCCCCCTGGTGAAATGTACATTATATTGTCTATAGGTGATTATATGCAGAAAATATATACTTTTAAAGAAGTCCTTCAACTGCAATTTTCAAAACTTCACGTTAAGTATATAATGCTGATAAATTGTTTGAAGGATAATGTGAGGTTAGAATTGGGGAAGCAAGGTGGCTTAGTAGTTAAGACCATGTGACTGGTGTCTGAAATGACCCCCAACCGCCAAGGTAAAAGCTATGTTGTCGTCTCTGAGCAAGACAGTTCAGACGGTTTGCTCTTCACCCCCCCCAGCCTACCCCACCCCCAACCCCACCCACATTTTATCTGTATTTTATCTTTAACTCGATTCTGTATTCTTCTAAAAAGAAAAACTCAATGTTGGACCCACTTGTGTTATCGGTTAAATCAGGTTCACTTTATTATTAAGTAGTTCATGTCCCAATTAGCTCCCTAGGTGGTAGCATAGTATTGTCCTGTGCAAGCGTAGAACAGCCCAAACCTGGAATGAAACGAGTTGATAAACAGTGGCTAGGAAAAACTCCCTGATGGGTCGAATTTAGAAAGAAACCTATAACGGGACCAGTCTCTGATGTTTGACCAGTCCTATTCTGGCAGTACTGGTTGAACTTATAATAGCATAGTTCAATTATTAACCCTTGACCCCAATGATCACTCCATTCGTTTGGACTGTGATTGGTAACCCTTTTGGGGCTAAGTGGACACATTCTTGTCTGGTTTAGATCATATTCATCAGACAGATATCTGTATTTTTATGTGGATGGCCTGTCTTCTGACAAATCAAAAGTATGTTTTGGTGTTCCTCAAGTCTTAGTTGTGGGACCACTGTTACTTTTGAGACCACATAAATAATAAGCAGAAAAAATAATCTCTAATTTGTTACCAGAATATTATACTATAGCAATCTGTTTCTTTCCTGTTACCCCGTCAACATAATAAATACACTTCAACTAGTGCTAAACACAAACAAATGTAGTCCCACTACTCCAGCATTAGCCTCTTATTAATAGCTGCCTGCTACGGCTACGGCTTTGTCTGATTTTAAAGTGTTACAGTTAACCCACAATCGATTACATGCACTTGCTCTAACTTACTTCTCTGAATTGGTCTAGTCATACATTCCAATACACACGTTATGAGCACAAGAAGAAGGCCTCCTTACTGAACCTAGAATATCTAAAGAAACAGGTAGAGGCAGGGCTTTCTGCAATTGAGCATTGTCAATTGGAATGATTAAGGTGACAGATGCAGAATCAGTCTCAACCTTTATGTGTCCAAAGATTTATGGTCTATGATTATGGTTAGTCTGGCCTGGGAGTGTGAAGGTAAACAGAAAGAAGAAGAAGAATCAGGTTTATTGCCACGTTTGTTTACACATACAATACATTCGCTCTGACCCATAGCTGCAGCATTTAGGACACACATTTTTACATGTACATGAACAGTGCAAATAGAGCAAAAAACACACAACACACACAGTTCAACAGGAGACTCTGCCTAGCTTAAGCAATAGATACATATAGTGTGTATCATATATATATATATATATATCTGAGTAGTACAAAGGAGCAATGTCTGGATGTGAGAGCAGATTTCAAAATATGCAAAGAGCAGTATGTAGAGTAATATGTAAGTGTATATAGAGTTGTGCAAATAGAGAGATGTCCAGTTTTAGTTCAGGATGTCCACCAATGTCTATTGTATCATAGCTGATAGTGTCCAGGGGAGAAGGATCAAGCCCTTGGCCCAGCGTTGGGTCGTGCACTACAGTGTTTAACTGACATAGCCAGAAGAGGACTGGTCACCCCTCAGAGTTTGGTTCCTCACTAGGTTTCTTCATAAATGCTGCGCTTTTTTTTTCTTCTTTTTTTTTCTTCATAGAATTTGACCCTAATAGTGGGACCCTAAAAGGCTTTATAAAATACATTTGATTGATCAATTGATCAGTGCACTCCTGTCTGTTGCACTGGACAAGTGTCTGCCAAAATGCCTTAGATGTTAATGAAAACCTCAAAACTTAGACTAAGTGATTGCAGTTATACAGAATATGATGAAGGGTTCTCAGATTGGCTACATTCTCAACCAAACCTCTGTATGACAGATTGATTTCCTAAAGAATGACAAAGAAGGAAGGTGATAGAGGGGTAGTAACTCTCACCTGTGGGGATGTTCCTCTGAAGGTGGCCCCTGCAGTGGGGGTGGCAGGTCGGGGGGTAATGTTGTTCTGGGCCTGGGCCTGTGCCTGAGCCAGGGCCTGCTGGGGAACCATCACCAGCTGACCCATCTCAGTGCGCACTAACACCATCCCTAGAGGGCAGTTAAAGTAATAACAATATACTTAGTGAAAGTCAACACACTGACCGGTAAAAAGACACATTGGGCTTAATAAAACGTCTCTCATTCAAATGGAAATAATGCAGTGACATGGATATATTTATGTACGGATGCCTTGATCATTTACAGAACAAAAGCAACCTTTCTCATGGACCCAATTATTTACTAATGCCATGATGAATGTGCCTAAGAAAGATCAGTACATTCAAATCATCAAATCACATCGGCATGCAACAGAAAGGGAGAGTGGGCAGGACCTAAAATATGAAGACAACCGACCGCTCAAAACATTCATTTAAGTTCTCCTGATTAAGCATATATTTTCTCACAAACGCATGAAAGTTCTTTAAACCACTGAACATTGCGAATAGGTTAATGGACAGAATAGGTTAATGGACATAAGCCTGCATGACTGACCACAATAACACAAGCTCGACATCTGGCCTCTACAAAAGGAAATATGAAAAAGGCCACATCAAGTCTCGCTAAAGCTTTGCCGAAAAGAAAATTTCAGTGTCAAATTGAATGTTTTGGCATAGTGTTATTGTCTAAACCCAATACATCTTTCCAACTAGAGAACCCCATGCCCACGGCAAATCAGGGTGGTGGCAACATTCTGTTGTGGGGTGTTTTCCACTAGGGACTGGACCACTTGCCGGGATGAAATAGAGGCAAATGGACAGAGCAAAAAACAGATCATTGACTTAAACCTGCAGCCCTTTGGCAGGAAATTGAAAATGGTTCAGGTTTCATCATGACAATGACCCAGAGCACACCGTCAAAGCAAAAGTACAGTTGATTAAGGACAAAAGGGTAAATGTCTTTGAGTGGCCTATTCACAGTCCCAAATTCAATCCCATGGAGAATCTTTTAAATTACTTGAAAAGGGCAGTCCATAAGTGGAATGCAATTTGACTGAGCTTGAACAGTTCTGCAAATATGGCACTATCTAGGTGTGCAAAGTTAGTAGAGACGTATTCAAAGAGACACATGGCCAACTATGGCACTGTCTAGGTGTGCAAAGTTAGTAGAGACATATTCAAAGACACACATGGCTGTTATTGATGCAAAAGTTCGTTCAACCAGGTATTCATTGGGGTGATTAGGTAATTGTACATAATTGTATGTTTTTTAATCTCCACTAATGTCAGAAGCCACGCCTCCATCATCATTTTAATGAGAGTAAAGTCATGCTGTATAAAAAAAGACCACTAAAAGTGTGATTGAAACAGAAAATGTCTAACATATATAAAAGTCAAGAATTAATTTGTTCATTTGACATATTAAGATCTTTTTATGCCTTTAATTTAATTGTTTTATGCAAGACATCACGAAGAAAATGCCGTTATATATCAGCATTAGTAGAAGAGGAGTTTGTAAATTGTAGCGCAGTGGTAGAGTACATGCTTTGTATGTATGATGTCCTGGGTTTGATCCCCAGCTTCACAATGAGAATTTATTCACAAATGGCCCACCTGGTTAAATAAAACCAAAAGAAAGTTGAAATTAAATAATTACGGGCATTACTACTTTCCTAGTAGTGCTGCTTTTTCATAAATTTCTTGATTCTATACTCCCAATAAATACTGACAGTTTTATTCCGGTGACTCGACGATTGATTTTCATCGTTTGACAATTAAAAACAGTCCTGTTCATATCCATAGCTATCTTATCATACAGGAGAGCTTACCTACCGAAAACCAAACATCTGCATGGAAACACATCCAACTGTATATTTTTATTCGGTACATGTAAAGGGAAAAGCACCTTTATGTGCCCCACATTATCACACACTGCTTTTTATGCAGAACAAATCGGTTTGGTGAAAACACTGCTAGTGCGAAAATGTGCATATAGTTGCATGAAAACCTATTGAGGATCTGGAGGGACATATTTACATGTCGTATGCAGCTCATAACATACCAGTAGAGATCATGCCTGGTGTGTTGCATTACGATGTGAGAAAAGAAATGTAAGCAGATTTTTTGTGGAATTTTCTTAGAAATGGGAAGATGCTTGCGACTGTGTCCTGTCCATAGAACTTCTTTCCAGTTTTTTCCAAATGTGCAATTTTGTAGTTCTTCTGTCATTGTTATATATATATATATATATATATATATATACACACACATATATATTATGTACATATACATACTTACACCTAATAAAATGCATTATGTAGTCTTGGTTGTGCTCTTTGAGTTGTGTAGATAACAGGTATGAGTAATTGACAAATGTGTTGATCAAATTAGTGCAACTTTTACCAAAACACATTCAGAGACAGTGGCATCGTTGAGAATCTTGGGGAAAGGAAACGATAAAGGACCGGTTCGTCTGTTCAGGTCATGTTCTCATTATAACACAAAACTTATGTGATGAGTGATGACACACAACTTGCCCAGTTGCATGGTTTTGACCTGAGCAGATGTCATCTGTCTCTGATTTGAAGAGTAATTCATCGCCCTAACACCTTACCCGGTGGAATGGTAAACCCAGGAGGCAGCTGAATAGTCGTCTGAGCTGGTTGGGGGGCTCTAACCATCAACTGGGGGGCTACAATCCTCTGAGCCACAGGGGGTCCCGGTCGAAATTGCAGCGGGGCCAACGCCAATGACACTGACCTGGCACTGCCAACAGAAGAAGCTGCAGTTTGTCCCACAACATTGACAGCCGGCTTTGCCATGACAGGGCAGGCAACAGATGTGGTTGGAACCCTAACAGCAGATGTGATGGGTCCTATCGCGCCCTGTTTCACCAACGCCGAGACCCTGGTCCCATTCCCTCCATTCCTCGCGATACTTGCTACTATGTGACGTGGTAGTCTATGCAAAGCAATGGTAGGGGTCCCTTTATCTAGGGGAATCGCGGATTTAGTTGAGATTCCGGAACTGGATAACGTGAACGTGGCTGTGTTTACAATCCGACTCGAGTCCCCTGTGGTGTTTATCAACGTCTCAGACCCCTTGCCAGGAGGGCTATTCCTTGACGTTACCACTCCTCCGGTACCGTTCAGACTCCGCATTCCCGCGGATGCACTCCTCAGCGATGCAGTTATGCGTCTTCTGGGATGATCGACGGAATCAGTTGCTGATGTTTGACCTGAAGCCAGAGCGGAACCTCGGCTGGTTGTGGTGCTGATGCCGCTGACACAAGACGTTGCTACACCACCAGATGCAGCATCGCTCAGTGTTGTTGTGATGGATGATGATGGTCCATGTGATTGCAAACCGCTCGTGGTGGTGTTTGCCACCGTCCCTACAGTGGTGGAGGCTTCCTCAAAAGGCGCACTGGAACTTAAACGCGTTTTCTCGGGGCTATTTTCTTTAGAGTTCGTCTCCTGGTGCATACCACCACCAGCTTTATGCTGTCCCTGTTGTTGCTGTTCTACTGTAGAGCCCAGTTGGGCAGCTAACGGTTTCCCTAAGTGGTGGTTTGCCGTAACAGACGAGCCAGCACTTCGGTTTTCCACGCGGGTATCTTCGGGATCTCTTTGACTCACGAGTTGTGACTCCAAGGAACCAACTAAGTCGCTCACAGCTTTTTCATCCACCTCAGAAAATAGCATATCTTCCAGTGGGTCGGTAGCGCCCGCCATCTTTGATTACAGATCGCCCGTCTAAAACTGTAATTAACGCAGTGCGCATGCGTGTTACTAGGCATTGTGGGAGTGCATCTGTGTCGTTTCAGTGTGGATCACGTGGTCACATAGAGCAGGAGCAAACGGCCAAGTCGCCTTGGAGTGCTGCTGAGTCAAAGGTAGTGACATGACCCTCTTGGGTAGATAAGAACTGATCAGAGACCTGGATGAGGGTTATGGTAAGATTAGTTTACATAATGCTTCTAGTGTAAATATGGGCAAGTGTATTCTCTGCCTTGTCAGAATGGATGTATTCAGAGAACTAGATACAGTGTTCGGCGGGAAGCCCCGTGCATTCCAATCAGAGTTCTCAAAAGCGCATAGAGCAAACATGGAGCTTGGATCTTTCGCGTTGGTTGCAAGCAAGCCCCTAGGAAGGACGCCATTTTTAAAAGCCACCATTGGCTTAGTGGATAAGGGTGATACTGCACCCCATGGCCCAGAAATACTTTTCACATAGACTTTTCATGGCGAAAGAAACTTCTATATTTCAGCGGATATTTTTTTTTTTGGGGGGGGTACATCAACTTACCAGCCTGAACACTTAAAGGGTCTTGTTTAAAACAAAATGTTTTTAACATTTACCAGTAGCCGAATCCAGAGTTATTAAACTATGCATGACGAACGCGCAGACTGGCGGGACTGCGCCCGTCCATGTTGCCCCTGCGCATGCTCATATGACACTTCTACCGAGGTCCTGTAGCCGTGATAATCTTGGATATAGCTAATGGTTGTAATTCACCATTTGTTCTATTAATACACCCATGGTATTATCTTATGATACATCCGAGGGATGGATGTACTGTATGTACTCCGTAAAGCCTGTTACGTGGATGTAACGTCATTCGTTCCCCAAACTGCCTGGGCTATCGACTAGCAGCTAACATCTGCGGTAGCTAGCACGGGTGTATTAAAGAGAACGGTAACAGAGCTAGCTATATGCCTACATAACTTTATATACAATAACGTTATATCTATGTCCTAGTGTCTAATAAAGTTAAACGTTATGTATGGTGGCACTTATTTCACCTCCTGGTAATAATAATAAAAGCATTTAATTTATTAATATGAGACAAGACTGTACAACATCAACAATGATAGAAGGGTTTATTAGAAAAAGCTAAACGTGTAACGTTACATATAAGTAACATATATTTATATATTAGCTACATTAGGCAATATGAAAGTGTGTCATATTTTATATACCAGAAAACGGATCAAAAAACAAATAACATTTTGCACGGTTAACATTTTAAACTAGTTTTTTAATCATCTTTGGGTCAAATAAAGAGTCAAGTAAGTAATATGATCAGGAAAACATATCGTTTAACGTAAGTTAATATTTTAGAAAATAAAACGATTAGTTCGCTACGTGTACGGTGAATTTAAGAGACACGAGAGAGAAGCTCATGAACGCGCATGTTGCTATCGGTTGCTAAGACAACATAAACAAATTATTGCTATTGCGCATGTCCATCATGACTTCATGGGCCAGTCAACGCGGAAGATCTCAGCTCCATGTTTGCTTTTTGCGCTTTTGAGCACTCTCATTGGAATGTACGGGTCTTCCCGCCGAACACGGTATCCAGTTCGCTTAATACATCCATACACGGTACACGATGTGTTTTCGTTGTTCTTGATCGTTTACATGCCTAGCTATATAAACGATGGATGTATTTAGACAACCAAGGAGATGTAATTATTATGTTGTGGTACTAGCTAGTAATATTCAGTTGAGTTAACTAGCACTCAGACAACTTATGTATGTGTTTTCCTATAATACATATCCTGCCAGGTCCATCAATTTGTGTATCATCTTCATGAAAGGATTATGGAAATATAATATATGCATGTTGTTTACCTTGTCCAAATACCGCCGGGACCCCAATGTCCTTGGGCTCAGTCCACATATCTAAAGAAAGTAAAAACATGTATGTTCTCCTCTATCCAAAACACAATGTGTGTGTCTTCCAATGACAGAGAAAAGAGTGACTGAGAGCACATGGATGTTAACGTTACAGTACTGTTTTCTTAAGCCCTACAAAAAGTGCTCTAAAAGTGCTCTAAGTTCAAAACATTCGCCCTTGCTTGAATGTATAATTTATAATGTCAGATATTTTGTTCATGCTAAAAGACTAACATTCAACCAAAGGCCAAACATTAGCTCAAATCTAATACTGTACATATTTAAAACAGCCTTACCTTAATTCAGCCAAAACTTCTTCCTTCTGTTGTATTTGATGGCGGTAAAGGCAACGTTGTATTCGTGTGAAGTTCAGCGCGGGCTGATCGCTTATCATTTCTTTCCAGCGACTGTGCCGGTAAATCTTTTTCTTTGTCTTTACAGCCAGCAAGAAAATCAAAAATTCTTCAAAATGCCATCTTGTGTTGCCTACAACTGCGTGAATCGTTCAGATGGTAGTCCCAAGGTTACTCTGTTCAGGTATGTTGAAATGATTACAGTTGCAATATACTTTTTATTTTATAGTTTCTTTATTAATTTAATTAAGCTAATGTTAGCAAGCTTAATAACTAGCTTAAATGGCTTAAACTTATTAGCATTACATTTGTCAATGTGTTATTGTTATATATTGTATATATGTTGTGAATCTCATAATGGATAAGGATCACATTCTCTTAATTTATCCAGGATCAACTCAATTTGTCAACATTGATAAACAATTAAGAAAATACTCTCAAGTGATTTTTACACTTTTGTAAAGTAATGTTAACTCTTCAATTTTTTTATTTACTTTAATGGACTGTGGTGTGACTAATTTAAGTAAGGTATAGATCATACTTTCTAATAGG